TTATTTGTATACACGCAGTAGCTCATTTATTTTCAACATTTACTATAAAGACTGTACACTGTAAATGTTATATTAATATAGAAATATTTTAAATGACAATTTGTCACTTTTTAGGTTACACTTTGAAAAACTGTATCCCAGCCATGGTCCTATAGAGTACACCAGACAGTACACATTTTGGGTCAATTCCAATCGGAAATGAGCATTAGTATGTGAAGTGAGAATAGGGCATTAGTATGCCCTACTCACTCCAAAAGTCAGAGCACATGAAGTCGGAACTCTTGAGAGAAAGTGGTAATTGTGTCTCATAATGTGACACGCTGACCACATAGTTTAGTTATCTCTCCTGTTAGAATGTCATCATGAGTATAGTGCAGTCTCAATTACCCCATTAGCTTTTCTTAGGCCAGGAATTTCTTATTTCTGTTAATGTTGTAGCAAATAATTATTTTGCAATAAAGTTTTTTTTTTTTAAATATTGCCTTTGTGTCTCAGTTGAAAAAACTTTATTCCCTCATGCATATATAGAATACATCATTTATTTATGTATTTTTAATTTGTTTTTGCCAAAAGTCATTAGGTGCATTAGAGGTTTTAATAATTACTGCGTAGCTATATAATTTTGGTAACACTTTATTTTAAGCACCAATTCTCACTATTAACTGATTGCTTATTAGCATGCTTATTACTAGCATATTGGCTGTTTATTGCTACTTATAAAGCACTTATTAATACCTTATTCTGCATGATCATATTTTACATCCCTTTATCCTACCCCATACCTAAACTTAACAACCACCTCACTAACTACTAATGAGCAGCAAATTAGCAGTTTATTGAGGCAAAACTCCTAATTAATAGAGAATGTGTTCCCTAATCTAAAGTGTAACCATAGTGTTAAAATTAGTTCTGTCAAATGATTAATCACGATTAATCGCATCCAAAATAAAAGTTTTGTTTACACAGTATATGTGTGTGTACTGTGTATATTTATTATGTATATATAAATACACACCCATGCATGTATATATTTTAGAAAAATATGTTACGTTTATATAGTAAATATATTTATATATAAATTATATGAATATAAATATATAAATGTAAATACATGTAAATAGTTTCAAAATATATACTGTATGTGTGTGTATTTATATATACATAATAAATATACACAGTACAAACAGATATATTATGTAAATAAAAACTTTTATTTTGAATGCGATTAATCGCGATTAATCGTTTGACAGCACTAGTTAAAATGATTATGATCATTATTTTCCACATACTGTACATTATTGTTGCTCCTCTATGCCCCGCCGTTCTGAAACACGTCGATTTTTACAAAGCTCAGTGTTCTGAAAAGCGAGGTGTATGCTGATTGGCCAGCTATCCAGTGTGTTGTGATTGGCTGAATACCTCAAGCGTGTGACGGAAATGTTACGCCCCTTACCATACTGTGAT